CAAAACAAAAAAAAAACAACTGCGTTCGAAATGTTCTCAGGTTGCAAACCTAACCTCACCAATATGCATATATTTGGCACAATTTGTTATGCATACATACAAAATAGAAAGAAATTGGATGCTAAAAGTGAAAAAAGCAATTTTAATAGGCTACAATAAATCTAGTCCTGCCTATTTAATATATATGGCCAAGACCGTGAATGTCAAGAGAGTCTGGTGTATAAAATTTGAAAAATCTAAATCAGATGATTGTTTTATTCCAGTTGAAAAAATGATGCAATATTTGACAACTATTGACCAAAAAATTCTTGTGGTAAGGGCACAAAAGAAAGCAAAACTCCACAATCAAGAAATTCAAGTGATAATATGGGAAATAATCCTAATGCAGAAATACGAGAGAGACGTGATACCCAAGCAGGTTATGAAAAATGCCTGAATATTTACGAGATTACGTTGTTAAAAATTTAGATGAAATAAACCCAAACATAGATTATCATTGTCCAGTGAAAAATATACCAACTAATTATGATGAAGCTATTACTTCAAATGACTATAAAATAGTGAGAGGCTATGGAAAAAGAAATAGCCACTCTAAAAGCGAATAATATATATGAATTAATAGAGCTTCCACCTGGTAAAACTGTTGTAGGCAGTCGATGGGTGTACACTATTAAAACAAATGACACTAGTGAACAGTTCAAAGCAAGATTTGTTACAAAAGGCCATTCGCAAAGACCTGGCATTGGTCTTATTATTACGAAATTTTTTATCCTACAGCTCAATTATCGTCAGTAAAAATTTTAATGCAATTAGCTATTCAGTATAATTTATTAGTCCACTAAATGGATGTAAAAACAGCATATTTAAATGCACCAATTGACTGAAGTGTATATCAAACAACCAGAGGAAAACTCCATTCGCAGCAAAAACAATAACAAACTTGTATGACTTGGTGAATGTTTCTCTCAATCCTTGGCAAATTCTTGTACTTACACAAAAAAACACTTCTAATACGATACTGATTATGATTGTTTGGGTTGATATACTAATTAGTGCCAGTTGCAATTCCACATTAAATAATGTAAAAAACATGTTTAAGTGAACAGTTTAGAATGACTGATCTTGGAAAGCTTTCTTTCTTTCTTGGAATACAGTTTAAATTTAAAAACATCATATTGAAATGAATCAAACAAAACATATTGAAAAGATTCTAACCAAATTTAAATGGTAAGATTTTAAACCTAGATCAACATCTTATGAAATTGATATCAATCTAATGGAGGATTGCAATGCTGAACCAGTAGACAAAAAATACTACCGAGAGATAGTTGGTAGTCTTATATACACTATGACCACCTGTATTAGTTACATGGTAACAAAACTGTCACAATATTCCACAAATCTGAACATGGATTACTAGATAAGAGCCAAACAAGTCTTGCATTAACTGAAAGAGACCAAAACACACTGTTTAGTGTTTAATAAATCAAATAAGGCCCTAACTTTAAGAGGTTTTTGTTTTATGCTGATTGGGGAAATTCAAAAGATTGCCATAGCATTACAGGATATGGTCTCCAATTAGCACCAAAACAGTTCAATGATTTCATGAAAAACTAGAAAGCAAACTACAGTTGTATTATCAACCTGCAAAGCAGTGTACACAGCACTGGCAAAACAAAATTCAATTATTAGCCACCATAATTAATGCAACTAAAGACCAAGCCACAATCTATTGTGATAATCAAGGTACTATTGCTTTAGCTAACAACCCAGTCTACCATCAACTTTCAAAATGCATAGACAAAAAGTACCACTTTATTAAGACTGAAATTCAAAAAAAGTACAATAAAATTGGACTATATTCCAATGGAAGAAAATGTTGCCAATTTGTTGACTAATTCTATTGGCAGAACAAAATTAAACAAATTTCTTACTGCTCTAAATGGAGTGCTATACTGAACATATCATTTTTTGACATTTTAATTGAAAGTTTTTTGTTTTTTTTTTATTCACTTTTTTTTGTAAAAGGAATTTAAAAAATTATTAATGGAAGATTAAAAAAATTAAAAGGAAATATATAAAAACAATAACCTTTTTATAATGTATGCAAATTATGTATATGTTTTTGTAAATGTTTTGCATCTATTATGTTTATATTTATTGACCCCATATTGGAGGGGGATGGGCTAATATGAGTGCGCTCATCCATTTAGATTTAAGTGGGGATGTTGATTTCCCAATGAGGGTGAGAATGATTGCAAAAGTTTTCGCCCTCTTATAGCCCGAATGACACAGAATGCATGCTGGGATATATTTCTTAGCCAATAAAATGGGACAGCTTGCATTGGATATGGCTCAGTCCAGATCAAATTTTACCTACTTGACAGACATACTGTGTTTGCTTAGTCGACCTTGCTTTTGTGTACAAAGTGTGTGTATATATATATATATATATATATATATATATATATATATATATATAATTATTTATTTAAAAATTATAACAAATATATTTATAAAATCACTACAAAAATAGCCATTTTGTTTCAACACCTCTGGTGTCTCATCAAGTGATGATGTTGAGTGTAAATTGTAGAATAATGGTTTTAAAAGGTTCAAATTAATTAACCACCCCTCGTAAGGGGAAACGCTGTTACATGAGCTGAAATGACCAATCAAAAAACAAGTACATGAGAATTCAAAAAACTTGACAATGAAGTAAAGTTATAATAATTATTAAATGCTTTAAAGTTGGGTTTATACTAAAATAGAATTTATTCTAACTAATAAGTATTAAATTGTGTGACAAAATTTTAAATTAAAACTACCCCATATATATATATATATATATATATATATATATATATATATATAGCACACACACAAGTCTATCTATACATGTTTTGTACACACACAAGTCTATACACATGTACACACACACACACACAAGTCTATGTACACACACACACACAAGTCTATTTTCATGTACACACACACACATCCCGGCATACACACATGTACACACACACACACAAGTCTATACACATGTACACACACACAAAATCGACAAGTCTATACATGTACACACACACACATAAGTCTATACACATGTGCAAAACACACAAGTCTATACACATGTACACACACACACACAAGTCTATACACATGTACACACACACACACAAGTCTATACACATGTACACACACACACAAGTCTATATAGATGAACCACGGTTCTAAAAAAAAGGAAAACGTGGTTTTATATAAGTCTATATATATAAGAACAGACTTATATATAAAATATATATATAAATATATACACACACACATTAATGGCTGGCTCATAGAAAGGCGAAAGCATGTTCAAGTATAGCCGTTATCTATTAGGTCAGCTAGCTAATTCCTATTGCAGACACTTGCTCAGTCTCATTTTTTTGTTCAACACCCACAGAGCCCACCTATGGCTTATACTGCAACTATGCTGAGCATACCTTAGTTACAGTTCTTGTTACATAACCTGATCAAAAATCTGAACAAGGCCAGCTCACTCTAACCCTCGGTCACAGTGACTTGTGATTTTTTCCTAGCACAGCCATCAACAGCCCCCCACCAAGGGTTCCATCTGCCCAATTTCAATCAAAAGGATTGGGTCAACCCATGGTATGATTTTCAGGCACTTTCACCTCCTCCAGATTTTTGGGGTTCCACTTCATTTTTTGTTCAACACCCAATAGCCCAGTAACATCAAGTCACTTTCCTGACAAATTGGCTATGGGGATATTCAAACCCAGGTCTTGTGTCCAGAAAGCCATCAATGTTTCTAACTGCTTGGCAATCAAAAGGATTGGGTCAACCCATGGTATGATTTTCAGGCACTTTCATTACCTAACACACACAAAATACATTATATATATATATATATATATATATATATATATATATATATATATATATATATATACACACACATACACTTTATATTCAGAGGAGGTTATCCCTACAAGTGAGATTAAGGAAATGTTGCAGATGTGGGAGAAACTTTTCAGATCTTATTCAAAAGAAACACCCAGAAAAAGATGCAACTGGGTGTTATACAATGACATTTGCTTAACTCATTCCAGCAACATTCAGAAAGGGACAATGAAAGACTTCATTGAACAGGTTTTTATTTAAAATAAAAAACAAAAAAATACCTGCAGATGAAAATGAGGAATGCGTGGCAGAAAGACCAAATATCAGCAAATAAGATTCATTTATTCAGTTCAGCCTTTCGCCTCCATCAACATCTTCAAGTCGTCTGATTGCCAAGGTAAATGCTGTACATTATACTTAAAACCAGTTTATTTAAGTACATTTTATTGTATTGTGTTTTTATACAATATTCGTTATTTATAAGTACATCTTTTGTATTTGAAAATGCGTAACAAAAAAATAACTTTGCTGTGGGCAGGTCCAAGACAGAGTAATGATATTTCAATTCATTTTATTGGGGAACATTGATTGGACATACAAGTAATCAGAGTTATTAGCTCTATCACAGAACAAATTAAACTCACGTCATGGCACACAACTTTGTGTGTGTGTGTGTGATTATATATATATCTCACAAATTCAAGGAATAATGGTTAGCATTCCTTGACTTTGATAATTAATAGCTCTGCACATTTGTTTTTTCTTTTTTACATTATGTATTGAGTATTTTTTTTATATAACTATTTTCTGGATAAATAAAACTTTGACCGGAAAAAACTGTTATATATATATATATATATATAGTTTTATATGTTTATATATATATATATATATATATATATATATATACACACCCCCGAATAAATATGCCTTTTAACTGAAAAAAAAAAAAAATAGTAAACCAAAAAGCTTTTTTTTTTTTTTTTTTTTTCCTTTCATCAAAAAAAGATAATATCTGTCTTTGTTTTTCTTTTCAGTAGAACCATTTAGCTGTGTTTACAATTCGAAATTTTACTGTCAAAACTCACCGGTGTATTTTCATTCTTAAATCGTTTTAATTGTCGTTCCACTGTATGCTGATTTTTGGAGAATTTTCCATCTCTTTTAACATAAATACAGCCATGCTATAAGAAAACAAAACAAATATCTATATTAGTCAACATAGAATAATATACCAATGATACATATTGATGAAAATAATTATAGTATATGATGGGGTGCCCAAAATGTAATGCTTGTTATTTATTTCCACAGAAACTTCAACAATTCCTGAGACCCCCAATAACACACTGGAGATAGAACACTATTTTCATCACAATTGACAATGAGGGTGTAGGCAGCTAGTGAGACAAGATTGCTAACCATTACACCACGTTGATGTCTTCCATCAATAATCAGTTAATTTAATTTCTCTATTTCTTGAGGGTGTAGGCAGCTGTCGTTTAATACTTGATTTCCAAAAATGGTTCTGGAGAAAGAAAGTCAAATGATTTCCACATTGAATTCAAAACTATGGAGAAGACAGTTGTCAGACATTGACTGCCCCTAACAAGAAAACTCAGTCTGCCCTACTAATTACCAGAGAGAGAGTTGGAGTAGAGAGACAGACAGAAGTGATGAATTCATGCCTTTCCCAAGGACATCAATATAAAATAAATGCAACAGCGTCAGTCAGAATTTGATCTTTCTGCGCCAATGATTGTTATATCAACCATACATCTATGGTGAGTGAAATTCTACTGTCAAAACTAAAAAGTATCTAATATGATTATACTGTGATGCTCTATTCAAGTAGACGGTCAGTCTAGTTCAAACTTTTTTTTTTTTTTTAAAACTACTGGCATTGCTATTGGAAACTATGACATTACCATTAACCCTTATTTAAATCCTAAGTCTTAATCTCTAGGATTAGATAATTAAAATCTGTCTTTTTCTTTAATTGATTGATTCGGTTTTTTTTACAGCTTATCAACCCTTTGCAGGTTACTTAAAGCCAGTAAGCCATTTTTTTATGATTGTAAGAAATTTTTTTGAGATAATAATGATTTAGTGATACAAGTTTTAACTCATAGCTGGGTGGAGAAGAGGTGGATTCCTACTTTTCTCAAAGGTATTTGCACATAAGCGAATATAATGAACCTAACTGAAATTGGAACTTGGCTCTCTAATTAACAATTCTAAACCATTATCCATTTCATCACTCACACATCCAATCTTACTGCACCTGATGCTCACAAACGGTCACCCATCTAGGTACTGACCAGGCTCGACATCGCTTAACTTCGATGATCATATGGTAACTAGAGTTTCAACGTGATATGGTCATATGCCTCTGTGTCTTTGTCAACGGGGTTTATCATAGTCTTCCATCAAATGTGTCCTATCTCTTACACACACACACACACACACTAGAGTATTTCTTCCGTTGAAAGATTCCATCTCTACATTGTTTGTTTAACAAAAGAACTCTGTACATGGATTGAGTTCTTGAGGACACATGGCCCAGTGGATAAAAGCATTGAATGAAGTAATCCAGTGTTGATTGAAGTAAAAGTGTTGGTTTGACTCAAAGAGTTGTAAGTTCAATATTTGGCCTCAGCAGGTGGAACAAAAGCTTGGAGAGTTGAGTTATTAAAAGGAATTAACTGAATCCGATATATCCAGAAAAGGCATGGCACGTGGAACTAGAACAATCTACATCAGTGGACTAAACAAAGGGTACAATTTGAAATTCCAACATATATCACCTGAAGAAGGCCGAACTGTGTAATGGCTGAAATATTGTGAATATGACAAAGACGAGTATAACAGTTTGAACAATGTAAAAATAGTTACAATATCTCACCACAGAAACATACACAGATAAAATATAAGAACTTTATTCACAACTCAATTCTTTGAATTGTTCAATTTCAATATTTCAAATAATCTTTATTCTTACAAAAAGAAATTTTGTGAAATGTTTGTTTATAATTTTGATTATTTTTCTTTCTTAAAATTCTTGCTTAAGACATTTTTGATTATGAATAGACAGCCATTCATTTTTTTAATATATTATTGTTAAGTGTAAGATTTCCTTGCATTTTCTCTTAAATATTTAATCTTTTTTAGTTGTAGTTGTTGAAGGCTGAACATAATCTTCATTCATATTTAGTCATTTTTTGATAGTGGGTATCAAGGTTAACAAGGAATTGAATTTAAATATTGTTCCTTCTGTAAACTAAAGTTAAGTCTTCTGTAAACTTCATATTAGTCTTTCTTTATATTTGACAAGAAGTAGAGGAACAATAACTGTAGTTATTTAATAGCACCAGTTTTTACTTGGTCTTCTCCAATTAACAATAATTATTATAATCATATTTATGACATTGTAAAAGAGAAGCTGACTTACCTCATGTGGCAAAGCAAGAACGTATATGCCTGGCATGCAAAATGAGTGATGGAAAAGAAAAAGAAATATGGCCGCCCTAACACCTTAATTTAAGAAAGACACGGTCTTGCAGCTAGGAAAATTGGCGAGAGTGGTTGGATGTACGCAAATTTTTTGCAAGCTCGGCTTGGCATAAAAACACCATGTGAGAGAGAAAAAGAGACAGGACCCTTGTGAACATGGTACTGTATATGCAGAGAAACTTTATCAGCTGAGAAAGCAATTACTTGGGCCAGTTTCCCACAGATATAACAAGAAATATTAAATTAAAACAGCACAATTAAAAATATTTTAATAATTCAAAGAAAAAAAAAAAAGTGAATTTTCACAAGATTTTGAAAACCTCTTCCTCACTAATCCGGTGGTCCTTTACAGGTTGTTATTAAACTGCTGTTTGAATATATTTACTGAACTTATAGATTGGCAGAATAAGGAGACATCCACTGAGGGGTGACCTTACTGCAAGAAATAAAATAACAGCACAATTATTTCACAAGGCCAGCATCACGCACAATGACCAGACCAAATTCTATTTCAGATTCACTGCCATTAATTGGAAAAAACATTTTTACCACCACAAGATGACACTCAGCAACAAAAAATATGCAAACACCACAGCACTCTCTAAGTTCTAGTGGAGTATTAAAACAAATGACTGGAGTGGGGACAATGCAACTTATGTCTATTAAAGAAAAGATTTATCCTCAAAAACATTAACAAACCAGGCCTACTGAATAAACGGACTGAACTAATGATAACATGTAGACCATAGAAATCGTATATCTTAAAGTATTGGAAACCTGACTAATTCCAGTTTCCCCCACCCCCAACACACACACCTACGTTATTAGAATATAGCACCTACTCCACAACCACGGCCACCCCCATACTGCACACACACGTTTTTACCCTATTTTTACCTTCAGCCATTTCTTAACCCCCCATCCCACATGTAGCGGTTTACCAACTATGTGAACCCAACATCGTCAACTTTAAATTTCAAATTTTCTTACCCCTCCTCATATTCTGCTTATTTTTTTAAGAAATTTAAAATCACCATCATCGCACTTAACACCTCCCCCTGTGCAACATTATTTCTTACAATACGTAGCAGTGATACTCCTATAAGCCACTTGTTTAGGCTCCTCTAACCACAGCCACCTCCATTCCCACATGGTTTTTTCTATTTTTATCCCTAGTTATTTTTTACCTCCCTTTAACCCATAACAGTTTACTGACCACCTGAATACATCTTTAATTTCATATTTTAAATTAGTAATTAATTTTTTCTTTCACTCACGTTTTTTTTACCCACCCTCCCTCATATTCCGCTAATTTTTTCTAAGAAATATGAACCAACAGCATCGCATTTAGCACACTCCTGTGCAACTTTATTTTTTTTTATACACTATATAGCAGCAAAACTCCCATGAGCCATTTGTTTACTTCCAGCAACATAGACCCCATGACTGACAAACTGGGAACACCACCCAACAAAACTATAGTCACACACCAAAAATGTAGGTACAAGTATATGTACTAATTAATACATACACACACACACGTCTTGAACAATAAAAAATATTGAGAAATTAAAAAATTAAAATTTTCAGGCACGCTGGATTGTATATTAATAGTTTTTGTTTTATTATTTCAATCAGATTCCTCGACTAGTTTCGGCCAGCATGGCCATCATCAGGTGAAAAAAATTTCTGCTTGTGAACTACAGGAATGAATGACTTTCTGAAGAAAATGAACTTTATCTGTAGTTTTCATTTGTTTTTTATTGTTAATTTTGGTCAGTCCTTGTGTTGGTCAAACGGCCTCTTTTAACTCATTTTTTAAGATAGAGGCTGGATAGATTCCCGCTACTCTGAATTCCATTGGTCATTTTGAGAGATTTATTGGTTCCTGGGAAGGAGATGCGTTTGTGTTAAGTGTATGTTATCATTTAGTTCTTCAGGAGTGTGTATGATGTGTGTAAGTGTATATATTAGTATGGGTGTGTGTATAAGTGTGTGACCTCAACAACTCTGCAAGCATGTCTCTCTTGTGTGGGTGAGAAATGTGGGTAGGGCTTGATTTATAGGGTTATATATTAATTCTATCTTAAATTTGTGATTAACACGGTCTGGATGGGGTGTTTTGAAGTACAAAATCAATGTGTCTTCATGGTCTTCTAGAATTTTTCTAATGTTATCTTTTCTGTCCTTTTCTATTTTTTCAATTATAGTGAATTTAGCATGGCTTTTAAAATCATATTTTTCTAGGTGAAAATGTTGTTCTAGAGGAAATAATCTTTCGTGGAGAGGCAACTTAATTCAATTACGATAATTATTGATTGTGTAGTGAAACAGCCAGATTTTCCCACATATTGTTTCTGGCATAATGTGCATTCTAATAAATAAATTATGTTATGACTGCTACAGTTAGAGTAATGGTAGATTTTGAAAGTAGATTTAGTGACTGAGCTAGTGAACGAATTTGTGTGTGCGTGTGTGTATACATATATATATATATATATATATATATATATATATATATGAAGGGGAAATAAATATTTGTACATCATGAAGTTTTTTAATTAACAGTTATAACTTATGAAAAAAGTTAAAATCCATACAACATTTCTACACCATTGAATAATGCTGCAATATGTAAAAATCAATTAGAAAATTTTGTTATAAATGAAATTATGTGTTATTTATAAAATTTTTAGGGGAAAAAAGTATTTGTAGAAAATGTTTTTAATACCAAAAGGCTTAAATTACCTTTATTTACATAATTCTTTGTAAGGTTTTGCTAGATTCTGCCAATTGTCTTATTACCAGAACAATCTAGAACATTCCATAATTCATTTCTTATATAAGGTTATCTCCGCACACAAATCATACACAATAATTACCATCATGGGGAAAGGATAGGAACTATCAAATTCACAAAAAGAATTGATCATCAAACATTGGAAGGAAGGCAAAAAGCTATAGGAAAATAGCAGATATCTTGAATATACCATTTACTACTATTAGTTCCATTATTGGTAAGTATAAAATGGTGAAAACCTATTGAGAACAAATCAAGATCTGGTGCACCACACAAGATTTCTCCCAGATCAATGAGAAGAATTCAGCGTAAAATTCAAACTATGACTACTGAGAGAGAAATACAGGAAGAATTAAAAGCATCAGGTATTATTGTAACAAAGCGAACAACAACCAATAAACTTCATAGAAGTCAACTAAGATCGCGTTTTCCAACAAAACCTCCACGACTATTGAATAAACATAGGGATACTTGGTTAAAATTTGTTTGTGAGCATAAGAATAAACCTGAATCCTTTTGGGAAAGAGTTTTATGGACAGATGAAGCAAAAAATGAACTATTTGGGCGTAAGTCATTTTCAGTAAGGTTTATTATTTTCTGCTGTTAGTACCATACTAACCCAGTACAACACATTTGTTAATTGGTATGGAGATAGGAAGTATCAAATAACCCACAAGTAAGTTTAATGTCATGCAGGACTTACCAGAAGACCCCAATGATTTAAATGGAAAATTTTGATTTAGATAGGTACATATATAGATATATAAAGTGTCGATGAGTAAATTATCACCATTTTATATTTTTTAATTTCACACAAGCATGTTTGTTTTTGTCAACTGCACAGTGTAGAAGGGTCAGTTGGGCACTGTCTGTGAGAAAAAGAGCACCATGACAATTCACACTGGAAGCTCCAATACAAACAATTCAGAGTTTTTGGGTCTCAATCTGTCAAATGGCCAAATTTTAATTATTGTTCAAAATTCTTATTGCACATTTGTATGTAGTTGTTTTTTACATCTGGGATTTATGCTTTTTTTTTATCCCCTCATTAACCCTCTGGCCAACAAGTGACAAAAAGAAAACAATCCCTTGATTTAGGAAGTTTTATTGCGTTTCAGCAAACAAAAAATTTAATTGTCATTTTTACATATGTTCATCCAGGAACCTGTCTGTTTTTAAAAGTTAATCCTCATCAATCAACCAAACTCACAGCAAGAGGTCCGTTTTCCTCTCCGTTACTAAATGGTCATAAAAATATTATCTATTTCTTTCCGGGAGGTCCTTGGACTTCTCAGTTCTAACCGAAACCAGACAGTCTCTTTGTTTTACCTCTCCAGTGGACGATAAATTTAATTACCTTCTTCTAGTTTTTTCTCCAATAGAAAAAAAAAAATTAAAAAAAAAAAAAATAAAAAAAAAAATCCTTTTTTAATATTTTCCCCTCATATGGTCATTGGTATATCTTCAGTCTATCGGAATTTAGTGTTTATCTGTCTAATTTTTTCTCAATTAAAAAAATCCTTTTCTTTCATTTTCCTTCATCCAGTCATCGGTATATCTTCAGTCTATCATGTCAGTGGTTTTCTGTCTTATATTTTTTTTTTTCTTTTATAATTTACTAGCACCTTTCTAATAGTGTCACACCTTATTTGTTTTAGTTGCTGTATCAGTGGCTTCAATTGCCCAAATGAAATTTGCAATGACAAATATGATAGCTGACAAAAAATAAAAAATCTAATTTTTGCATTTCAGTTAATCATTTATCAAATCTACTTTATACGAAAAAGTGTCATGCTATGTCTATTTTCTCTTTAGAAGTAGAAAGAGACCATTGATAGATATTTGCCTTTATTTATGGAAATTAACTTATGATTTATTTTAAAAACCATTAACTAAAAATCAAACAATCACCTACTTTCAAATATTACCTCGTTTTCTCCCTACTCCACAACCATTCTGATGATTCATAAATATTAGAAGGCTAAACTATCAGTTTATTTTAAGATTCACTTTTGGGTGGGGGCAGATGTTGACTCTCTGAACCCAGTCAAAAGCAAACAAATAGTCTTTGTTGAATAAAGACAAATATATATGGATGAAATCTATTCAGGAAACTGTACATTCAAATTGGCAGAGATTCAATCAGCTAACATTAGCTAAATGTAATGTGGTTTTTCAATAATTTACTCCCAATTCATGTTTATCTTATATGTAACAGTGACTCAGTGAGTAGAGCTCAGTAGTTAAAGCAAAGGACTGAAGGTTTGAGATAAAGAAAAGGAGGGTTATTGTCAAGTCAATAAAAATATTAATTTTTTTTTTTTGGAAGAAAAAAAAATGTCAACTCCAACTGAGTCATTTTTCTCCATCAGGCAGTTCACCTCACAGATTTGGCTAGCTAAACACAATATGGACAGAGATATTTTATTGTATTTAGTTTCCATGGAAATGACCATTACCAAATATTCAGGAGTAAAAAATGAGTCTACCATAATATACTTGAGGATAATCCTACCTGAATATACAGTGCAATGCTACTCTCTTGTCTCCTGGTACTACTAGAGGTCTTACTCTGTTAATTAGTCTTCGCAAATGATGAATTTTATTCTTATTGGTTAGGTATCTGACAACGAAGAGGCACAGAAAAATCAGAAGCACTGGAATCAAACACCAAAGGAGCCGAACACAGGATCATGACAAGCAGGGCATGAGCAAGATTTCCACATGGGAACCCCACAAATATGGGACAAATGTAGCAGAGAGACACTGGAAACACAAACATGGACAAACGAATTTCAAACAACACTGGGTAACATGGACAGAAATACTTGGTAATGCACAGCAATCACGTTATACGGTCAACATGGCGTTCTGCCAGTCTACCTCACCCTGGGAAATGTGCCTGCTTTTATGAAGGCTAAAACTTTATTGGTTGGCTATCAAAAGGAATCATTTACATAGCTAACACCGCTCAGCACTCTGTCTCAATTATTTCATGGAGAATCCGGTAGACACTTTCTTCATAACCAGACGTCCTGAGGTTTGCACCAGTTCTGTTCCGGTATGGTAGCTATTTGCTTTCTATCTGCAGAGACAGTACACTAAATGTTGTCTTTTTGACTGACTGGGGTGGGTACCATTATCAGTAGCAGTAAGCAGCTCTGCCTGCCTTTCATTTCCTGGTACTACTAGGGATCTTACTCTGCTAGTTGATCATCCTAAACCACATTGTATTTAAGTTTTGAATCTGAGGAAGTCTTTGGTGAAGCTGGTTGAAACATTCTCATGAATAGGAGTGGGGGGGGTATGAGAGAAATAAAAAAGTGACTTTCAGGACAGACAATCAACTCTTGCTTGTAGAAAGAATAATAATTTAAATCTAATGGTTAGTTACCTGTTTAACCCAGATCAGTTTGGTGGTGCTGTGGTCTACCTAATTAGTAGGTGTTGACATTATTCATAACCTATCACAAAAAAAAAAAAAAAAAAAAATTCCTGAACTGGTTGCCAGTTCAGTAAGAGAACTTTGGTCTCAAGCCTGTTGATAAAGTTGGTCTGCAGCTCTTCTGCTAGATCAATCTGTAAACTGGAGTATTCTCTGACAGTATCTTGTGAGAGGTAATGAAGTATGTGGCAAAGACGGTTGGTGATAGTCAACATGCAGCACCTTTCCTACTAACCAGATCCAACCCCCTCTCCCCGGCCAATCAGACTGTTTATATTGAGGCAAGCTAGCATAGATTAATTTATTATCATGACCCCCTAATTTATCCATTCCTCAAAATTTCTTCAAATTTGTTTTGTTCGGTCTGAATAATGTAAATAATGTAAGTAATCATAATACTTCATCTCAGAGATTTAGACAACTATTAATTACTTAGTAATTCTCTATCACCTTTCTTGGGCCTTTTTTCAATACATTAAATTATATACTATCCTCACTGTATATATTCTATCCCTACTTAGTGAGCCGTACCTGCTTTGATTTTGAAATGAGATTATCTTCATCTCATCCATGTTGGATAATTGTTGCTAATTTGCTGGCATTTGAGATCTAAAACATGTAGATTCTTTTCTAATGTACTAAACATTGCACTATCCAATGATACAAAACAAAAGTAGAAAGTGACTGCTTACCTGTCGGAAATAGAATCCATACATGGGTAGGTACTTTAAACTGTCTTTGAGGACATATCTAATGTGACCGACCATGCCCTGGCGAACTGCTAACATATTGATTACAATCCAATCAACTAAAAAATAAAAAAAAATAATCAAAGTTTGAAAAGCAAGACAAATATAACAAGTCAGATTGATTGTATGAAAAAAAAAAAAAAAAAAAAAAAAAATCAATTCTATAAGAGATTTAAACATGATTGTTTTCACTTTAAGTCAATTAACAGTGCCCTGAAAACTTGGACAATTTTTTTTTTTTATTAATTCAACCCAAGCAAGGTGATAACGCCACTAAGACGCTACTGTGTGTGAAAGAAACTGAATAATTTAGGAGCCGGAAACAAAATCCTAAACAGGGAACAAGGGATAACACTCTTTTCGTTCAAAAGGCCTGTGAGAAGTGTAGACCAGATGATAAGCAAAAATAATGAATTTATAAAAAGCCAAGAGAGAAACCAAATTCTTTTCACAGCAACTGTTAAAAATTGTTAATTTTTTTTTTTTTTTTTAATATAGGAATAAAATACTTGTATAACATTCTCTGTCCCATAATAAATGTTAATTTAATGCAGGAAATGTGTATGTAAATGCAACAACTATTATGGGACAGGTGTAATAATATTGCTTTGACATCATCATAATATTTTATTTCTACATCATCACCATTATAAACTACTACAGAGCCCACAACTGCCTAAATGTCATATATTCTGACCAATGTAGCCAACTATGTAGTCCAAAACTGTTGTATCCTTAAAAGAGGTTACAAACAGACAAAGGTGGTACTCGATTGAAGGAACAGCAACATGTGCATAGATGAAAGAAGAGAGGTTTATTGTAAAAGAGAATACACTACTGAAAGACAGGGAATCAGATGGCAGGCTAGTAATTCCCTAAGCACCGCCCCAGATGTATCATGTGCTCACTATATATAGATACTTAGTCAGTCCACATAGGTGATAGGGAGTGTGGAACATTCCATTACAACACTGAGCTAATTTTCCCATGAAATTTTGCTCAATACCTCTTCTTTTTTGGGGTCAGGACATAATTGTTTAACTTTTTTTCCCCCCTTTTCCTAGTACTTTCCAGTCTCACCAGCACAAAAAAAATCATTTCATCATGTATATATGATGTCACCTGATTACATGTTTTACATTCATTAGATGGCATTTAACCAAAAATTAAGAAAGTTCTACGTTTCTAACAAATGAAAAATTTTCACTGTAATTTCTACTGAAATGCAAGATGCGTCTAAAAAAAAAAAAAAAAAAAAATATATATCTTATGGTTATAATTATTATCAATCCTCACTAAATCCAAACAGGATGAATTTTTTTTAATATGAAAAAAAAAAAAAAAAAAAAAGTTATTTTTTTTAGATTTTACCAAGGAAAAATTCTAATTACAATGTAGCTAAAATAAAAATCAGCATAACTTTTAGCTATTTTTTGTTTTAAGCAAAGATCAATCATTTTGCATCAATTGCAAGCAATGATTAAATTTAATTCAATTAATCTAATTTAATCAAAAAACATTATTTAAAATCTTACACTATCACATTTTTTTTAATTAAAGTTTTTTTAGTGAGTTGTTTTTCACTTGGGTACGCAACTGTACAGTTGCAAGTGTAATAGCTGGCCACTTGTATTCAATGATACCAGTCTACTAGGGCCTGCTAGCCAATCCCTATTACAGACGCTCGCTCAGGCACATTTGTGTTTGCTCAACACCCATAGAGCCCACCTGTGGTTTATACTGCAACTATGGTGAGCAGACCATAGAGTTTCTGGGAAAGAGCATGTTATCTAGCACAATCAACAATTTGAACAAGGCCAGCATGCTCAAGCCCTTGGTCACGATGTTATGTGGCTTTGTGCTAGCCCAGCTATCGACAGCCCTCAAGAATTCCATCTACCCAATTTCACTCACAAGGCTTGGGTCAACCTGTGGTATGGTTTTCAAGCACTTTCCAAAGGTGCCACATGCTGGGATCGACCTCAATCCATTCTGAAAACATCAGCAAGTCTCCTTCCTGACAAATCAACCGTGCTGATATTTGAACCCAGGTCTTATGGCCAGAAAGTGAATATTCTAACCAATTGGCCACATGCTGATAATAGTTGCAAGTGTACTTAGTTTTTAAATCCCTTTTTAAGCTTAAATATCAAAGTACAAAATAGTTAATGATAGGTGTAAGTGTCTACTTGACTTTATAAATAGAAAAATATATATGGTATATAAGACTACCTTAATCTAAAAATGTAAAATTTAAGTCAGCATCAGATGAACTGGGATAAACCATATTGAAAACAAAGTAAATTGTCACATTTTAAATATTTAAAATGTGAAAAAATTTAGAAAATAAAAATTGAAGGTGGTTTACTTTAAATAGAATTAACAGCTTTTGAAACAAAATAGGTGAATTCATTTTTAGAACAGTTTCACTTTCGTCCATTACATTCTAATCAAATTTGGTGAAGAATTTCTAAGATGTCCAAAATCACTTTTCATATGGGAGAAGTGGTTTCAAGCAAAAGAAATTCTTTGTAAGAACATGGCCACAATTGCTTGCCTAAATTTTCATTCTCAATATTTTCAATCATCTGTTTGGAATGGAAAATCATATCCTCAGCATGAGACTGACACTCCCAAATAACAAGATTCTACTTTTGAAGATTTTTCAAAGTTTAGCAAATTAAGAGTGCATATCAACCATTCCACAAAGAATTTTAAAAATTCAGAAATTTCCCACCATCTTCATCAGAAAACATTTTGATTTACCATCATTTTGACAGAGATTTTGCATTGCAATAATGATATGAATGTCTGCGATAATAAAAGACAAAAGAATTTGATAGTAAATATGCTATTTTGAGATTGAATTTAGAGAATTTGCCATCTAGATAATTTTCAACAATTTGAAGTTGTGTCAGAGATTTTATATGCAAATTTATATCAGAATTATCTTTTTTAACTTCTTACCTCCACATCAACGGATGATGATTTTTTTTTTTTTTTTTTTAACAAAACACTGGAAGATCAAAATTCTTGAATAAAGAAAGAGATAATCATGGTTTCTATTACCAACATATATTTTTTGCTGCTATCCATCCATTGAAAAGTCAGATAAATGTTTTCCTTTATAAGGTTTAAGCAATTCACTCAAGCTTCAAACCTTTTCTGTTTCCCATTTTGATTTCTAGGCTATGGCTGATATATAAAGCTGGCATTCTAAAATGTGAAATTTAAAAGGAGTTTTAAGGTTTCAAAACAGTCAAGGTAAAATTTCATCATTTGAAAAGTCAAAACTTACTGTGTGATAATGAAATTGCAATTTATTTGAAGAAGCTTAAATTTTCAAAAGTAGCCCACTCACTCGCACTGGTCTTCAAGTTCCTTCCGACCACCATGGTTACCATATAGCTGACCCCTCACTCATTAACATTGCTGATTGGTCACTGATATTGTATCAATAAGAACAGTTCCACTCAATCTAGCTGGCATTTGTCTCCTTTATGATCTTTTACTCCTATGCCACATTGTGTTTTTGATATCAGCAGGTGAGAAAATTGCTGATGAAGTAAACTGAACAAGGAGCTACACAAAAAAAGAATTCTTTGGAATAAAGACTTAAACTGGGTTAAGAATGTAACAATGATTTGGTTTATATATGATTTTCTGTATAACCCTTCCCACTTAATGTTATAATCAAATGACAGTGGGAGCCCTCTGGAGTTTACAGCTTATGTTAGTAGTAATTTAAATTTCTAAGTTCTGGTCTTCAAGGCTGGAACAAGGTCTTGGTCAAGAGGTCTCAGCGAACAATGTGGATTCCAGCGGCAGTAATGTGGGGACAATTTGTCCAAATCTCCAGCTTATACGGAGTCCAGCAGAGGTGGGGATCGACCAGAGTCTGGGTTCAATTATTTTCCACCCTTAACATCAACCTTTTTCTAAAACTTCATATTCTCAAAATATGTTTACTCAAGTGATTTTTCAAATTTGGGGATTGTCCAACTCTCTTGAGTGGTCAGAGGAATCAAGCTGACCTGTAACTACAAATCCCTTAATGTCTCATCTTGCACCATCACTCCATATATTCCACTTTCTCAGCATCTAACCTCAATCGACTCCAAGGACCGGTACACCATCCCTGTGACGAATCCAAACTTTCATTATGCATGGGCAAAAAGGAGATTTCCAATCATTAATCTTTCTTGTCTCATGCAGTGATTTCTCGATCGACCAGATCACTCAGCTGACCACTTATGGTCACCCCATGGCTAGTAATGAATTTTTCTTTATCACTTGTATCCAAAGGAATCTGAATTAATGTCAGATATAAAACTTTTGACAAATGTCACAAAAATTAAAATGAATGAACCCATCAGGTTAATCTATCTTTGTAGGGACACTTTTCTTCTGGGTGGCCAATTCAAACCAGATGTTTTTCCTGGATCTTTGTCCATAATAATCTTTAAATGTTATTTCAGTACCACCCAGGCTTCTTTATCATGTTTGTCTATTTGACATCTTTGGGGAAACATTGTTTCTTTCTTATCGGTGGGAAAGGATGGGTAGTCTTGGTTTTGCTCAATCTTATTGAATTCTGTCTTAGTAAAATTTGGGTTCAATTCTCCTTGGAACTGTTTGGGAGTTCATTTATTTTGAAAATGATTTTTCAATGCATTTCGTTTGTAATTATCTTCAACTTTTCAATTCACCTTCCTGCAAATTTCAACAATTATCATCCAGTCAGTAGACTCTTTCCCCCCTTCCTTTCTTCTTTTGTTTAACCCCAAGGTCCCAGTGTCATACAAGAATAGTTTCAATGTGGTTGTTGAGGTAACAATGCAATATCAAACTTTTGTCAACTCTTGTATTTTGCCAACAAGAGAGCGGGGGGGGGGATAATGGGGATGGAGAGGGAGCGAGTCTACATCAATTGGTTCAATGATACTAAATTTATTAAATATTATACTGTAAGCATTAATCCTGATAATGATCCTGTGAAAGTCTCTCCAAGATTTTTCACTTTAAAATTTCTAGCTTTTAACATTAATGCTTTTGATGA